AGCCCCATGTAAGTCCATCAGTGTAAATCTTAGCATTTACAGTCACGTGACTCAACATGCAACAGCAAATGCCTTTGCTCACTTTCTTAACCTGCAGCAATTCACAATTAAAATTCATGCCAATGGGCTTAACATCTGTGTGACAATTGCAGTGAGGCCAACCAGCTTGGGCCTACCACTGCGCTTCCTGTCACTCTAGCTGACAAGAGAACATGGGTTCATGACTGGCACCCAGTGAAGCCATTACGTGAGGAACAGCAGGCCAGGAGAGCAAGCCTCTCTGTGGGGGACTTGATGACAGTCCATGGTCATTGCCAGCATACCCTGAATACATGGGGAGGGGGCTAAAGAGCAGGACTTGGAAGAGGAACTACACACACAGCATACAGGGAAGAGGCGGCAAGATCCAGAGAATGCACCTGGAACTTGCATCAAACATATTGCAGTTCTGTGTGAGGAGGATGGAGTTCAAAGTTGAAAAGGAAAAAAACCCAGCTCCTTGTGCTGGGACAACTTGTGGCTTTTTGGAGTTCTCTCCTAGTATCACCCACCAAATGCAGGGGGAGAGACTCTATCCTCTACAGGGAAGAACTATTGATTAGGAATGGGGTGAGTTAGGCAGACACAGTTGGTTCTGTTGGGAAGACCTGGACCTCAGGAAATGGAGGTGAAAAGGTTTTGAAATAAAAGTCACAATACATGACCTATCAGGTGAATTTGATGTGTGTCACCCATATGTCTGTGTTGGAAGGGTCATATGATGTCCCCCTGCCCAGGGAGGACACTGAGGGTTTCACAATCAGCATAATTTTTCATTTCAATTCTGGACATTATGTATACATCTGACAACTCAGATTGGCAGCATTTATACACCTGAAAGCAACCCCTTCAACTTGTCACAATAAAACGGTTAGCCTTTAAGATGCCAGCAGACTTTTCTTTGTGTTGCCTATAGCTAACTAATATGTTTGTTCCTCTGGATTTTAGCATATTAAAAGCAAACTGGAAATAGTTCAATCTACATTTCCATTTGAGTTTTTTTTTCCCCAAAAGACTGAGGTGAAAACTTGTAATAACTTTTTGAAGTGCAGAAATTACCTTGTTTTCTGGAATATGTCATATTTTTGGTGAAGTTCATTATGGAATTCAGAGAAGCTATATACTTGGGTATATCCCGAAGATATGTAAGCTGTGGCACATTTTCTTGTAACCTTTTGTTTTTTTAGGGAAAAGAAAAAAAAATACTTGTTATTTCTTCCTTCAGTATGAAAAACACAGAGAGTATGTTGAAGAAAGTCTTACCAGTTAATCTGTTGGTGAATTTTTTGGGGATCCCCAATGACTATTTCCCGAATTTCTTCAGAGACACATCTAGGTTTAATGGAGCTGGTCACAGCACGACCACTTAGTTCTACGGCATGAAGAAGTTTCTTGTGGAACTCACTTTGACTGCATAGTTCCGTAAAGCTAATGTCAGGAAGCTGGCAGGTTTGCTGCAATGACCGAATGCTCTCGTGGTCACAAAGGAGTGATGTCAAGTTTCGGAGGCGAATTAGCTTTACATACAAGAGAGGTACAGAGATTATTTATCAGCGAATGATAAGCCATGAGGAAGGGAAGCTAGCAAACACAAGGGGACAGGAATATTGTTCCAGTTTTAGGGGGAGGGTGGCATTTCATGTTCTATCTATGGGCTGTGCAACAGAGACTCAAGAATGGTTTTTCCCTAGGCTTGGAGTGAGTCTCTATTGCAGCGTGTGTGTGTGTGTGTATGTGTGTGTGTGCATGGTGTGTGTGCGTGTGGGTGTGGGTGTGTTTGTGTGGGTGTGCGCATGCATGATGTGTGTGTGTGTGTGTGCGCGCACATGCATGTGCAGCAAACCCACTACCTAATATGTGCACTTGGGCTTCCTGTCTGCACCTGTTAGTATCAAGAGGCTACTTACTTTTAATATCAGGATGTCTGGAACTGATGAATAGCTCTTGTCAGTAGCATGGGGGGTTAAGAGAACCCTTTTCAATTGCACCATGTCTGGAGGAAGAGTAGAATGTTCTGTGAAGAAGAACAATTACCTGTTCATTTGTCTATTTAAATAGATGTTATTACAAATTCCTGTCCAAATGAATCACAAAGGACTAACGTATAAAAGCAGGTACCTTTTCATTTTCTTACAGATGGAAATGTAGTTAGGGAAAGAACGAGACTGAGTAGATGGAAGTGAAAAAATTAAACCTAAAGGCCATTCTCTTTTCTAAAACATACCTCTGTAACTCCATTTGGTGAAACAAAACGGAGCGATGGATGTCACTGTCACAGGAGTCAGCCCTCAAAAGCTAAGGTGACAGAATCAAATCTGAATAGAAGCCATTCATACTGATCTGGAAATCTTGCCCCTGACCCGTCCCAGACACACAGGGTCAAGTTAGTCAGCACTGAGATGGAGGCACACCTTACATGCTCAGAGGTGCCCCCTTCCCTGTTAATACTTTCTATGTTTTGAGTCAAAGATGTTAAGATGAAAAAAAAAATTGCTGTGCACTTCTGATTTTTATCAATTACCTTAATGACTTTCCAAAGCTAACTAAAAGATAAAGAAATAAAGACACTCTTCAGTTAGTTCTTTCTAGGACTCAGCCTAGCAGGATGGTTTTTGGATGGACCATTTGTGGAATCAAATATTTCTCACAATGAAATACTTATATCTAAAACTCCAGAACAGCCTCATAGCACAGTGATTAAACTGCTGTACTGCAGCCAAAACTGTGCCCACAACCTGGGGTTCAATCCCAGGCAGCTGGCTCAAGGTTGACTCTGCCTGCTATCCTTCTGAGGACAGTAAAATAAGTACCCAACTGCAAATGTGCAGCCTGCATAAATTAACTTGTAAACTGCCCAGAGAGTGCTTTAAGCACTGTTAGACAGTATATACACAGCACACTTTGCTTTGTGTTTTTTTTTACCAGTGAATGAATTTGTATGAGCTAAAGAAACTTTATTTTCTGTAATTTTTTTTAATATACCAAATTCTAAAACCAATAGAATTGAAGTTCCTTGAATATCTTTTATTCAGATAATTATATATATATATTTTTAAAAAAGGCAAAAGCCAGCAAGTTTTACACTCCGGGGAGAAATCGCATTAGCCCTCCAGCTGTACTGGACTTACAAGAGCCTTTTCCACTGTATATGCACATAAAGTGTGAGTGGCAGGTAAGCCATTTCCTAAACGCTTGGGAGGTACACATGGGGGAAACTCCTATTGATTACAACTGCCTGGCTCCTGCCCAAGAATATATGACTGCCAGTATATCCAGAACACATTTGGTTGCCCTCTAACTCTTAAGATGTGCCCTGGGGAATGTTTCAGGAACAACTACAAAGTATGCCATTATCAAAACATACATTACCTGGCAAATCACTATCAAGCTCTTTGGTTGCATTCATTATACAAGCCAAGTACGCTCGGAAGCCATTATCAGGTGACATCATTATGAAAATATTCTCAAATTCTGAAAACAGGAATCTTGAAACAAACAAAAACAGAGCAGGTCAGCTTCTTTATGTGAAACAACATACATCACAGAATGGCTTGCAGTGGAAATCCTAATATAGAATTCAATTGCCACTTATAATTGGAGCCACTGGAATTAATTCAAGCCATTTATCCAAGGTTTCTGTTAAGGTAGTAAAGGGTTTTTTGGCAGCTCTACCAATAGCCACTCTCCTAATTTCTAAATAAACTGACTTGAATTGACTAGGGTAAAATAAATGGAGATTTAAATACAGATTTACAGTCATATTTCTGAGAATTCAAACATGGTTAAACAGATTTCCCAGAAAAGGGACTTCATTTATAACTTAACCGTCTCTTCTGAACTTTTCACTGGGATCATAAAAACCCACCAGTGAGGTCAATGACACTGCAACAAGACAGATCTAGTTAACAAGCTGAGCACCCATACACATCAATTCCTCCCTTCCTCCCTTCCCATTTTTATTTAATTATTTTCTTCTAGCCAAAGACATGGAGGCTACTGAAAATTTTTTCCTAGGCTCAAGGAAGGGAAAAGATTCTTTGATGCAAAAGTGAAATGAGCTGCCACCTGTTGAATCATGATCCTTTCTCTACTGGCAGCCTGGGAAGAAACTTTGGCAACTGCATGGGGACTTTGAACTCCAGTTAGTTATACCTGGAGGTTCTGCTCTTTTCCTGCCTCTGCCTAACAGATGTTTTTGAATCAAGCTGAACGCTGTAGCTTTTAGTATATTGCTTTTTATACCACTTGCAGCAGTATTGAAATAAAATTAACAACAATGATCAGTTCTGCAATTATTTTAAACTTTGCACACATTTTTCACTAATTATGAAAAGAATGTCTTACCGTGCAACCACACTATTTAAAGACTGGATTTGTCTCCATTCATTTGAAAGCAGAGCCTTATCCAAAAGGGTTTCAGCAGCAATGGCAAAGGGATACATAATAGGATCAAATCCGTATGGGGAACTGCTTCTCTCTGAAATAATTTGTTTATCCAAAACTGCTTTTAGCTCCTTCAGCAAATCCAAAGACACAATATTTTTAAAAATATAAGCACTAGCATCAGGAATTTCTGGAGCTGACATGTTGTGAGACAAAGCTCTTTCTATTAGTTTTTTGCCAAATTGTAAGGATTCATTCTCTGTAAAGTTCCATTCGGAGACCATGTTCCAGACTTGAGCAAAAACATTCCATCCAGCCTGGCTGAAGAGAGCTTCCTTGGCCAACTGGACAGTTTCATTTGTAGGAACACTGAGATGAAAAGCATTCCTCAGTAACCTGAAGAACACTGACAAATTATTCCCATCAGTAGAACTGTCAGTGAAATATTGCAAATAAGATTTTGCTTCATTGGTAAAGAAAGGAGGGACCACATTCAAAAGGCTATCATCAGCTAGAATATTTTTGTCATCAAACCTTGGGATGAAGCAAGTTGTATTACTTGGTGGTAATTCTTTACAAACTATTGCAAGAGCCATGTACATTCTGTGTATCCAAGGATTTTTATAACCGAACAGAATGTCCATTTTTGAAAGCAAGGCTGATGAGAAGTGCACTGACTGGACTATGCACAACAGTGCACTCGAAAAGTGTTCAGGATTGTTCTTATAAAGATCTGATAATTCTGAAGTCTGGTCAATCTTTCTTATTGAGAACTGAAACCACTCAGTAAAAGTCTGATTGGACATTGCTCTGTTTCCTGTGTCTCTGGAAGTGAAAAGTGTTTCACAATGGCTTTGTTTCAAAGCCACTTGGATGGTGGCATTTTTAAACAACATCTGAAGAATTATGTGAATTATATCTTCAATGCTGCAGTTCTTTGGCCTTCCAGCTCTGTGGTTGCTAATATCTAAAAAGGGACTGAGAGATAAATGCAAGATATCCATGATCTCTCTTTCTGCTGAACTACTCAGCTGGAACAGAAAGTCAAACTCCTTTGGATACAGGAAGCATGAATAGCCATACAGGGTGGCAATTTTTTCCTTATCAGTTTCTTCTTCCAAACTGTGGAGGGAACGAATGGTTGCCCCTTGTATCCACACATCGCTTATCCTCTTGGTGATGTTTGTGTTGTCATTAGGCAAGGGAGGTGATGTTTCTAATTTGCTGATGTTAAAGTGAAGCTCCAAGTTATCCTTACTTATCAGGTTCCTGATGACAGCATTAAATACATCTGAGGGATGCATTTGTAAAGCTTCTTCAACATAATCTTGCAGCAGATAGTATAAAACCCTACTAAACTTTTCCCATTCTAGACTGAAATTAGAACTCGAGTCATTAACCCATGAAGATAAAAGTTTAGGTAGCATATTTGTTTTATTTATGTACATATTTAACTTTGTGCCATTCAACTTCAAGAAGCTTAGCTGTTCACGAATATGGCTAAGAGAACTTGACTCATTCCACTGGGATTCACTTGTGTTATTTTTGATTATCTGCATTATTCCTGAAAGATAAATTGCCAAAGGATAGTTATCAGTGCTGTTTACTTCTTCAGTTTTATGGTAATCATTCTGAAGCCCTGAAAGCTGCTCAAAAATGTCTTTGGCTGTTCTAGATTTAAGTCCAAAATTTAAAAACTTCAGTGGGACTTGCTGTGTTGAATTCAAATCCCCCAATATTCTCTCAGGAAGAAGGGGAATTGAAATAGCTATCACTTTTTGGATAGTTTCCCATAGTCTTACTAATTTGAAATCAATTGTATTTAAAAACAATTCATTCCAAACCATTGTGGTTAATTTTAAAGCTTCTTTGGTTTCTTCCCAATGAGGATTCATGTAGAAAAGGCTTTGGGTAAGGACATCAATGGGTGGGGAAAAAGTATGAAATAAGTTTTCAAAATAGGTTTTATAATCCATGTCAGAGGATAGCAGCCCAAGTATCTCTTCTACATAGGAAGGATTCATTCCCCAGAGTAGGGTTTCCAGGTACTGATATGTTTCTGTCTTATCATGAACTAACCCTGTTACAAGAAGAACAAGAGCTTTTCTGGTCATTTCCAGTAGCTGAACATACTGCTCTGTATTTGTCACGTTCTGACTGGAGCTCAGGATGTCTGCAACTTTACTCAAGACCATTGAGAAATTTTTCCACTGTGACTGCTTGACTGCATTTTTGCTCAGTTCTAATATCTGTGACACAGTGGCATTCACACGGGGTTCATTGTGGAGCGAAATGAAAGACAGAAGTGCTTGATTCCAGACTGAGGGACTGCCAGATACATTTCGTGCGTTAGCTTCTGTTTCATTCAGCAGAAAATGAGTCAAAATGTATAAAGCAGAAGAGTAATTTTTAACATCCGTACTGCCAAACAATGGTAGTTGGCAGGTCATATTACTTTGGGAGAGCTCATTAGAGATGGCTGTTAGGCTTTTATGCATTCTTTGTATCCAGGGGTTCTTGTAGTTATGGAAGCCATTCAATTTTGAGAGAAATCCTGATGAAAGTTGTAATGACTGGACGAGGCACTGAAATTTTCTGGAAAGGGATTTCCTTTTATTTTTATGAAGTGCGTCAAAAGCTGGCATAGATTTAAAATTTCTCACTGCAACTTCAAACAATTCAGTAAATGTATGATGGTGGGCTGTTTGGTTTTTGAATTCCATGGAAGTAAAAAGGAAGCTGCAGCTGCTTTCTTTTAATGCATCCTTCAGCGTGGCATTCTTCAACAACACTTCAATAGCAATGAGATGCAAGTCCTTGACAGTGCAGTTTGGCAGTTTGTCACTAGCCTGGATATCTTCCCTTAGGAAAGAGGCCAATGTTAAGTACAACAGTTCGAATGCTTTTGCTTCTGCTGAAGAATTATGCCACTCCGGAGACCTATAAAAGTCCTGCAAAAGCAACAAGTGAGAAAAACTAAGGAGGGCATCAATTTTTTTTATACTAGTTGCTTCAGTCAACCTGGGATCAGAAAGTATATCCATTCCTTCCTTGAATATCTGAAACAACCTTTGGACAGTTTCATTATCAGTATTCATTAGTGGATTAACAGAAACTAATTCACTGAGGTACTTTTCCTCCAGGTCCTCTAACACATGTAGAGTTTTCAAGATGGTATCTAAAACTACTGAGACATTTGTCCCACTGATGCTTTCATCTCCATACTTCTCCAGCAGATGGTTCACATATTGTGTCAATTGCTCAAGTTCCATTTTCAAAGGAAGCTTTGAACCATGGCGATGATTGTACAGGCTGTTGTGCAGAATATCTAAAACCTGCTGATAGATAAAGATGTCTGTATCATTCCATTTTGCAGACCTGAGCTTTTCACCAATATGCCAATAGGTATTGAATTCGTTCCACTGAGATTCATGAATGGAATCTTGGATTTTCTGCATCAAGTCCGTGAAGAAAGAGATCAGCAGGTAATTATGACTTCTGTTGGCCTTTGCAATGATACCAAAAATGTTCTGGAGTGTCAGGATCTTCTCAGGAAAGTTCTCAATTGTTGTCGGTTTAAGCAGAGAATTTGCAAACAGTGATGACACTTCTTGCATTGACATTAAGTACTTTTCAGTCTCTTCAGACATGGAAGGAAATCTGTGAGATGTTAGCATTTTAATGGTTTGCCATACATTTGAGGCATTAAGATTAGCCTTATTTAAAAATGTTAAATCCAAAAAATATCTAACAAAGTTCTGGCTTTCTTTCAAATAGGACATTATGTGAAATAGAGGCAATGCACTGGAGCCATTCTGAAGCAGCATAGATGTAAGATTGCTGATTTCTTCCTTATTTAATAACTCTCTTAATTTATTGTCTCTGCCATTCTCTGTTTCCCATCGCAGAACTTCAGCCCATCTCAATATAGTTCTGTTTTCATATTGCTTGAGTAGCTGTAGGTTTTTAAATTTCTCCTGTAAACCTTTGAAAAGCAGTACAGACTTCTCCATTTTTTCTAAGTTGTTCAAGAGACGAGTCATTATGGCAACCAAGTCTTCATCCTTGAAGTCGGCAGATATTTTTCTAAAATGTAAAAACAAAACAAAAACAAAAAACAAAAAACAAAAAACAAACAAATGGAAATTGAAAATTTGCAAGGAAAGAGCCATGTTAATTCATCACAACCAAATTAACAAAGCATCTTGTGCTGCCTTAGTCAGTGTACTATGCCATTAGGTAGGTAAACTATGGTGCTGCAAATTTTGTGGAATAACAGCTCCCCTCAGCATGGCCAATGGTCAGAGATAATGGGAAGTGGAGTCCAACAAGATCTGGAGGTCTTTACTTTCCAATCCTTGGCATAAGGTTTCATGGATTTTAGTTGTTTAATTCTTAAAAGAACAACGAAATCACTTTGTTGTTTTAATAATAGGAAGGCTCTTCTGATTGGTTGGAATCCTGTTGTAATACTATACATGGGTAAAGGCTAGTGATGTCATCAGCCATGGACTTAATTCATCCCCGTGTATCCCTTTCAACCTGTGAAACCTTTGAGAGCTATGGAGGGTGTGCTTTAATATCAGAGAATTACTGCTAATGGTCCTGCCCCTGAGATCAGGACCGGCAGGAATTTTCAAATGTTAAAGGCTCGCCAGCTCAGGGCTATTCTGAGGCTCCCAAAGGATTTTCCAGTCTGTAAGAGATTTCTAGGCAGCTTCAAAACCTGAAAAGAAGTGGGATAGGGCAGTTTGAATTAAAGATTGAAGATTGAAGATTAAAGATTGAAGTCCATAGCTAAACAAAGGATTCTGGCCAATGTATCTTAGGTGCACTTAATTCTGTGGAAAGATAATATTTATTTTAGGCCATGTATTTATCAATGCATCATTTATCTTAAGGAGGTGGAAATGACCAAGAAAGATTTTAGTCATAATCTTTGTTTTCATTGCCAGTGAAGACAAGGATTCAAAATATATCTGCCTGCTTACCAGATTTTATTTTGGTATATTTTGATGAGAATCACACTGAAAGTGTCACTAGACAGTGAAATTATCCCGGACTGGATTAGGTTAAACAGGGTCATGTGAAAATGCAGTCTGAGATTTAGAATTCTCTTTGCATCTACCCAGAGGGATGGAGTGGTGTCGGGACAGGAAGCCACACCACACCTCAAAATGACTCTGTTTAGACCATTCTCCCCCCGCCCCTTGCAGTCTCCATGCCCTTGCATCCTCTCTTGTCTCCCCCTCTGTGGCAAGCAGAGAAAAGCCAGATTTTTTTCTTCTGTCAGTAAGTGGCATATCATTTCACTGGTTTACCATTGAAGTGGAACAGCATTGGACTGTAAAGAAAGAGGGGGGGGGAGAGAGAGAGAACCCCTCTCTTCTGTATTTATTTATTTATTTATTTATTTATTGAGACATAGCACTTCATTGGTTTCCCACCAAAGTGAAATAATGCTGGATTGTAAAAAAAAATAGGTAAAAGAAAAGAAAATTGCCCTCCACATCCTGTCTTGTCACCCTCTCTGCAGGAAGCAGGAGAGAGCTGGATCCCCTAAACCTCCAGATAATATATATTATATAGATAGGTAAGTGACTGATCACTTCATTGACTTGCCACCTAAATGACACAGCACTGGACTGCTAGGGGAAATACCTGCCAGTACTGCTTCAGTTCAATCCCAGCAGTCACACATGCTGGAAACCAAACTAAGCCAGAGTGATTCTACCCACACTGAAAAAAACAATAGCCCCTGCTTGGGACCCAAAAAGATGTAGGTAGGCATGAATAAGGGTCAGCCTGTGCATCATGTGGTCCCTGGATAATGGGATGAACCAGTCCATTTCCAAAGTGGTCCAAAACATGAGACAAAGTGCTGTCTGATTGTACCCTGGTTGGGTTTAGACTAGGGGTCTCAAACATGCGGCCCGGGGGCCATTTGCGGCCTGCTGGACAATAGTTTGTGGCCCCTGCCTTGCCTGCCCTCCCCTGAAGCGCCCACGAGTCCTCTGCTGTCAAGAGTCAAAAAAAGCTTCGCCTCACTTGCCAGCTCTCTCCCAAGACAGTGCCTCTTGCACCCTCCATCCGGAACTGCAGCCTGCCAGCCAACCCGCTTGTCTGCTGGCTGGCAGGCTACAGTTCCGGATGGAGGGTGCAAGAGGCGCTGTCTTGTGGGAGAGCTGGCAAGCTAGGCGTGCTGCCGGCCCTTTTCCTCAAGCGCCTGAGCGGCCGCTGAGTGATGCCTGAGAGCGGAGCTCGCTCCCGGACTGTCCTCAAAGAGCACCTCCAAGCCACCAACAGCAGTCACCGCTGCCACTGCCTCTTCCAGGGAAGCGGCTCTCTGGCTCTCTCTCTCTCTCTCTTGGCACTCCCAGCACCAGTCTGGCCGGTGATGAGGGCTCACGCATCCCTCCTCCTCCTCAGAACCCCAGCCGGGCTAAGGAAACTCCTGGGCGGCTTCCTCGGGCTCTTGCTCTGCTTGGTGGAAAATCTGATGCGGCCCAGCCTCACCCAGGCTCTGCCTCCAGCGGCCCCCAGGAAAATTGAGTTTGAGACCCCTGGTTTAGACACAACACAATACTAGGCTACAGCCTGAGGTTTCTGAGTGTCTCCTTTTCTCTCTTTTCTCTAGGACAGCTATGGGAGGAATATTTGCTTCCCTTTTCAACAAATCATGTTTTGTCATTAAGTCTAAACATATGGTGCTTCTCAGCTACAGTTAAACTTAAGGGAAAGAAGTCATCTTCAACAGCAATTTCTGATACTGCCTTGTTTCTTTCATTTACAGTTAAAGCTAATCATATTCTCAAGTGTTTATTATAACAATAAACCATAGTTAGCTTAAAACAGAAATGACAGTCCTGGACCTTCATATATAATTTAAACTTTCCTGAGTACCCCTTCCTTACACCTGGACCGAATGAGGTACTTGTAATATGAAATTATACCTCAGTGGTTTTTTTTAAATACAGCCATGGATTCAGACTGGAAGTAAATCACACTTAACATCATGGGACTTATTTCTGAGTCAACATCCATGCAATTGCTTTCTTGCTGTTGCTTAAAACACTAGCTCTCACTCATGCCTATTTTATTTAAAATTAAAATGTGTCATAGGTGTGTAGGCCAGTTAACAACAACAATACAGGAAGTCCTGTGTTAATACTCAGTGGATCTAGTGAAATCAGTACAAGTTTTGCATAGCTGTCCCTCTTTATTATCCTTCTCCCATCTCTGAATAAAAAATAAACATTCGGAAATTCATAAATGTCACCCTCTAAAGAGCCTTGGCTCTGACTGTGATCTTACTTTAAATCATCTTTCATGTCAGCAAATAAGGTCTGGTTGGTTTTCCAATAAAGAGCAAACTCACAAATGTCATTCATTACTGAGTTATTCATATCTGGAAAAGAAAAATAAACAAGTTAAAGCAAAAAAAAAGTGAAAATATCACCATTCAAGTTTATTTATGATAATAGTCAAATCTGACGGGTGACTGAAAGAAATGCACAACTACTTCCCCATGAGGTTCAAAATCCCACCGTACTGTTGTTTTGCTTTTCTTTCAGTCTCACTGGCTAGTTTGTCTGTTCCATGCTATTTTTTTGTTCTCTTTGGCACAGGCTTTTTGGTGGACTGTAGCTGTTTCATTTGGATTATCTTTTTCTAGTTGTTGTACGATCTGTTGGTGGTGTGGGAAAGTGGCAGACAAGTGACTTACAAACAGGTAGAAATTCCTGCCAGAGATCTTGGAGCATCACATCTACTTGGAACAGACAGTCCTTAAACTAGCTAGACCAGTGGTGCAAGTCCAAATAAGGCAGGTGCCTTTGTTCAAGGAATTTAACTGCACAATCCTATAGGTATCAGTCTCTGGCCTTTGTCTCATTTATTTCAGAGGAGTTTACTCCCGTATGAGTCAGTCTTGGACAGGGATCTCCAAACGTTTCAGTATGAGGGCCGCATCATATATTTTACACATTTTCAAGGGCCGAAGGAGGTAAGGGAGACCCAAGCAATTCCCCCAACCCCACTGTCTTTGCAAAGACAACAGGGGTGGGGGATCACTTCTGTCAGGCTTTGCTCTTCTTCCTACCCTCAGTCAGCCATAGGAAGAGGAAGGAAGGAGGACCCAAGTGCTTGGGCTCCCCTTCCTTCCTCTTCCTATGCCTGGGCTGGATAAAAAGGTAATGCAGACCGGATGCGGCCCATGGGCCATAGTTTGGAGAACCCTGGTCTAGGATGACAACTTAAGAATCAACATGATAGTTTTCAATACATTTTAGATGTTGTCTGCAGCATGTTCTGGTCTCATTAATGCTTGCACTACTTCTAAGCCCTCACCATAAAAAGTCTGATTACAATCCTATTCCAGGTCCTTCACTTTGCCAGAATTATCAAAACAGATGTGGCACATTTTAGAGTCAGGAAAAGTTAATTTTTGAAGGGCATCATGGTACTGGCTGGAAGTCTTATTGCTCCAGCCAGCTATTTGGAAAATTATGGATGTGCTTTCTAAAAAAGTATTTTGCAACATTTTGTAACAAGTTTTTTCCCCCCCAAATGATCATGAATAGCCACAGTAGATATTTAAAATGCTGAATATGGCCAAATGTATATAGGCCTGGGTTATATACTGCTATTGGCTGCAGGAAAATTTAAGTACAGTAATGATATACTCAAGACTTCAGATCTGTATGATAGAATTCAATATGCAACAACAAATGACTATGCTAACCACTAAACTTGCAGCAATTTCCCAATGAGATCCACTACAAAGGTGTTTTGCTAGCAGGCATAACAAATGGATTTTGGCTACTATTTGGGTACCTGATAAAAAAGACAGGCGAAACTAAGTGATCTCACCTTGCTTTGAACATTTCAGGGCAGAGAGCAGACTGCCAATCACATCCTGAATATTCTTGAATCCAGTCTCATTCAAGACAGATGGAGAACCCTTTTCCATATTTGTAACAGTCCTTTAAAAGCAAGATTGTACAGCTTGAGGACTGTAATACACAGTTGCTCACAGAAAGATACACAGAGCAAAATATACAACACAATCACACAACAGGTCTCTGTTTCCCTTCTCATCACCTTTCTGCTGGTTTCTGTCTCATTTTCTAGGTCGGGGTCAGGAGTCCTTGCATAACAGACAAGGAGCAAATGAGGAGATTTATTGTTCTTCTATGAATCTCAAAAATTAGTTGGAAAAGGCCTCTTTGGTTCAATTTCTCAGTGACCCCTCCCCAACCACTTAGAGATAGATGAATTATATGAATGGGGCCTAGATGGATGCTTACCTTACCTATTCAGACCTTTTAAAAAGTACTGTTTTTGAACCACAATTCCCAGTCAGCATTGGTTGTTACAGCTGGTGAATCCCGGGAGTTGCAACCCAAATACTTTTTCAAGGTCTGTACATGTTCTTGAAGGGGGAGGCCAGAGGATGGGGGTTCAGCAGTTTTGATGACATTGCTCTTTGCTCTCTTCCTTCCTTCCTTCCTCCCTTTCTCTTTCACCAGCTGGGTTTTCTCTGTCCCTTTCTTCTCTAAAGCAAGCACTGTTGATGGCAGAGCTTAATTACCACAAGCTTAATAGAACATGGGATAGTAATTACTCCACTTTCACTGAACATTCCAGTTTCCTACACAGGCAGATGCTTTATTCTCATATCTTAATCATTAATCTATAAAAAGATTATGGAGCAGTAGGCTGAACTATTTACTATTATTTATTGATTTATTTCACTACTTTCGTATCATACATTTCTTCCCATTCAGGCAGCTTACAAAATGGCAGGCAGGAGGACAGCCAATACGTACATTAGCATGTTTTAAATGCTATGAAACATACAATAGTTTTAAGCAACCACACTTGAAACCATTTACAAATATAGATAGCAAAAAAGATTTGCAAAAAAAAAAAATGCTTTTAAAGAAAAGAAAAAGAGAGAAGAGCAGAAAAGAAAAGTCTGTCAAAAACAATATCTGCAACCTGAACGATGCCCAAAAACTTTGACTGAAAAGAAAGGTCTTTCTTATGTGAGACATTTGCCAACCATAATTATGGTTAATGGTAGCACTTCAGATACTTTTAGATAAGAAAACTTTAGATAATCTCTTTGGAAAGCTCTGAATGGACTGAAGAGAACATAAACAGGAAAACAACACCCATGTAAGGTAAAACCTACAGCCCCTGAATTTCTTCCACTCCTCACCTTTTTCAGTTGACAAGCAGGCTTATTATATAGAAACCACATGGGGCTGGAAGAGTCCAGCGCAGAGACAGATACCACTATACTATTTCAGGCGTCCATGAAAAAATGTAATGTTTTATTATTCACTGTTTCATTACCTTTGTTTTTACTGGGTTTCCTCTCTTTTGACTTTTTTGTATGTGACTACTTTAGGTCACGGAGTCAGAGGACAGCGTGCTGTCCTCTGAAGATGCCGGCCACAGAGACTGGCGAAACGTTAGGAAGAACAACCTTCAGAACACGGCCAAAGAGCCCGAAAAACCCACAACAACCAGTCAATATTGTTTGCTCGCACGCAAAAATGGCAGTCTCCATTAGCAGTCGAAAGTCCCCTCACACACACTCCCAAATATTCAAGAACATCTAACTTTCAAGGGAGTTCCAGCAGAACAAGGCATCTCCAAGGAGGCAGCATCAACTTGAGAAGCTGCTGCCACAAAATGGTAGCCAAGCAAGGGATAAACAAGATGAGAGGAAACCCCTTTGTATCTGTTTGTTTCAGTTTTTCTTTTGTTACAAGAGGAATACACAACCCTATTTTCATGTTGTTTCACTGCCCAAACCAGATCAAACATATGCAAATGTTTTGGCTGTAAAGATTTGGCTTACCAGCATTACACACCAGTATTTTACAAGAGATTTACACATTCACAACTGTTTCCTCATTATGGTAGTTCTACATGGCAGTGTTCCTCATTTAGTTAAGAACTGAAGACAGTCTGCATTTGCAGACCAAACTTTCAAAAACTCAATCTTCTCCTGATCTGCCAAAATATCTTGCTTTTTTCATACCATCTTTGTGAATAATTAAAAAAGGCTACACATTTTATTACAGTGAACTACATAAATAGATGAAGCTGCATATTTCAACACAGTGAAATGTCAATTACAACTGTTATGTCTACTGCCATTAGATTGCCTTTTCTTTTACCTGCTTGCACTGTGAAGAGCAACAACCATATCTTTGACATTAATGACTCCTTGAGTGATATCTGGGACCATTAGAAGGGTGTGCCAAATGGAAGTTTCATTTTGCAGCTGGGAGATGAGTGATAATAACGAAACAGCTTCCTTAACAAATGCCACCTGGTACTGAGGATCATACTGTAACTAAAAAGAGGCAAAATGAGGAAACAAACTACAGAACATGTAAAATATTGTGACCAGCACACATCTTTTATTATTTCATGAATTTTCTCATCTAATTATATTCTATCTATAATATATACCTTGATCCCACCTCCAGAGCTAAACCTCAGTTGAAAACGAAAACAATTAGGATGTGGGAAGTGTTGAGGTACATTGTGGGAAATGGCAAGTTTTACATCCTTTCACCCAGCTCCTTACTTCCTTCTCTCTATGTAACTGAGTAGATCTCGATTTAAACACACACTTCTACTCTACTCACATATAGTTTTAGGCCAGAGGCTTTTGCTTAACAAACCCTGCAAGTCTTTTTTCATCTTCATCCTTCACCCTTGACCAAGGAGAAGTCAGCTCGCCTGCTTCCCTGACAGTCAGAGATAAAGCCCAGTCTTTCATCTTGGCTTCTCTTTTCACTACTAGCTGCTGGAGTTCATGAACTAAAAGGAAACATCACATCTCTTTTACAGTATTGCCAGCTGCAGACACTGTTGGGCGTACAGCGACTGAACGGCTGCAACGCAGAGAGCCGGTTCCGGGGAATTCTCGTCCGAGCGGTCTGATTAAAGTCATCCAATGCTTAGCAGCCTTCTTCCGCACTACAGAAAGGGGGAGGGGAGTGTGTGTGAGAGTGGAAGCCAGCTACTCACTTTAGGAATCTGATTTCTGAGTTCTTGAAAAAATGACTCCACAAGGGACACGTTTTTGAAGCAAAAGGTTTGATAGATGTTTGTTCCAAGGACTTCCCAAAGGAGACTGAGAGAAGGTACATTGCTTGCCATAAACTCACACATCACAGTTTTAAGGTTTACAACAGAGAAATTTTGTCTCGGCACCTGTAAAATAAAATTCAGTAGAAGAGAGTTTTGGAAAGGAATTGTTTGTTTAGAGAAACTGATCTATTATCTACAGCCTGAACAGCAACTTGAGCTAAGATGGTTGGTGTGACTCAGTTCAACCACCACAAAATCCCAGCATATCAGAACCAGTAAGAAATCTCAAAGGGGTTTGACTGGCCACAGTCAACCCAACTATGCCAGCCTTTGTGACAGGATCCAACAACTACAGGTCTTCCTAAGTGGAGTACGTATATGAACTCTAGTGTGTTGTGTAGTAGATAGACCAACAACTACAGGTCTTCCTAAGTGGAGTATATGAACCCTAGTGTGTTGTGTAGTAGATAGACTAACAGATTAGGACTCAGGAGACCTGGGTTTAAATTCCCACTCTGCCCTGGAAACTTGCTGGAATGTGTTTGACACATGTATCTTGAAACTCCTTATCCTGAAACTCCTATTAGGATTGCTACACGTTGGATGCCACTTGGCAGCACACTCAGTAACATACACACCAGTGAAGTGTGTAGTCACCGTTTCTGACCTTCAACATCTCGGCCTGCAATTCATAGCAGCTTTCCAGAACAGAAGCACTTTCAGAGGCTCACATCTCTTTCACACATGCATGTAAGCAGATGTTTTGTGAAGTGCATGCTTGTAAGAATCTCAGGCACATTTCAGGATGGACAAGGTGCCACTCAAGCAGAGACAATGTTGTTTTAATTATTTCATGCTCTTTACGTGCTCTTCATAGAGCTAGCATAATATTGTTTCTATTTGATCACCAGTGGCATCTTTGCAAGACCAGTGCGACATGGCTATTCCTATGAGGCAAAGTATAGGTGCATCTTCACAGGGTGGTCACAGTTTCGGTGTACTTCCATTGTTGAAATATCTTTTGGAAGGTGACCTCTGCGGCATAAGTAGTAATGCAACCTGTTGCTGTTTGTGCCAAAACAGGGCTATTTGGGAAATTAGAGTCATCATTTCATTTCCCCGCTAAATGAAAACACATAGCGACATCATGACCCAGGCTGATATTTTAAAAGTGATCTCTTTAAAATGAATATAAAGCATTACCTCTCTCAGACTGAGAATTTTCTTGAGCAAATGTATTCTGGCTGCCGATGAAATATTTTCAACCATGTCTTCCATGTGGCCTGTTAAATCAATTAACTCTGCAGAAGTAAACACAGAACAACACATGGAAAAGTTTCAGGTGCTCTGAATATGCTGATATTGCCTAAGTTATGTCAGCTCCTGACTCTTCCTCTTTGGTGGGGTAAACAAAGCCTCCTTTCAGCATGATCCAAAATCAGTATTGGATTGCTAAGGTATCATTAAAAAGACAAATCTCTGAATCCTGTACACATACTTCACCAGCCTGGACGTTGTAGAGCTTCAGGCTGGGGGGCAGGAGGAGGCATAGGACATTCTAAATATTATCTTGCCTACAATTCACCCTACACCCCCATCCCCACTGTTACTTTAAATACAACACTGTTACACTTATTTTAACAGTGATTATATAGTGATGGGGAGGGACGTGGTGGTGCTGTGGGCTAAACCGCAGAAGCCTGTGCTGCAGGGTCAGAAGACCAGCAGTCGTAAGATCGAATGCACGCAACGGAGTGAGCTCCCGTCGCTTTGTCCCAGCTCCTCGCCAACCTAGCAGTTCAAAAGCATGGAAATGCAAGTAGATAAATAGGTACAATCTTGGTGGGAAGGTAAAATGGCGTTCCCTAGTCACGCTGGCCATGTAACAACGGAAAACTGTCTTCGGACAGGCGCTGGCTCTATGGCTTGAAAATGGGATGAGCGCCGCCCTCTAAAGTCGGACACGACTGGACTGAAAATGTCAAGGGGAACCTATACAGTGATGGGACAGGGAAACAATCCTTGCCCATATTTTTGAGTAACAGAAGGCACCTAAGGAAGCCGTGGTCATTATAGTCAGCATTACACAAGCATGTACATAGCTGCTAACTGGAAAGCCATCCCTGCTGCAACTTTGGTTGAGCAAAACCACAAATTTTATGCAGGGCTGAATGGGACATTCCATGCTTCCTGCACCATCAACCACTTTTTCTGGACTAGTAAAGTGGTCTTTCCGCCTATGGCTATTTCCACTTGCCTAAAATAAAGTGAGGATACCCAGGGCGGTGTAGTGGATACAGTGATGGGGTGGAACTCAGAAGGCCCGAGTTCAGCCATGAACTCCTTCACCAAGCAAGTGGAACTCCTTAAATATCTCACTTACCTTGTAAGCCCTATTAGGGTTGCTATAAGTTAATTCCAACTTGATGGTACAGAAGAGCAAAATAACATGATCACAGAATAGAAGAATGTTTTGCCTGAGTCTACTTTCTCAGTGACTTGGCCAGGGGTAGAGAGACAGTCTTTGCCAGTTCAAGGACTACAGGGGGAATTTAACTTGTAGCAAGGACAAAGTGTGTTTGCCACAAAAAAAATCAAGAAGATAGGAATTTTGGTATCTGACAATGTGCATCCTACTCTGTGTCTCCTCAGATTCAAAATTCTGTGATTGAGATTTTGTTGTAGAAGGAGGCGCTAAGTGAAATATCTTTTGCTTCTCTTTCTATGTCTATCCCTTTTCTCCTCATTGTATACCATATGCTTTCCAGTCCTGGAGAGAATTAAAAGATAGTTCCTTGTTTGTTTCCTTCTGGCTGACAAAAGGCTGTATAGCTCAAAACTGAGGCCACTCAGTCTTATACTGGTCAGAGAATTCTCACTTATTTGCCAGCAGGGATTGTTTTGTGATCTATAGGAGCAATTATTTCTTCATTTGTGCATTTATACTTCCTCTGGTCTAATAAGGAAACTTAACCAGAATAAGTGCAAGATCATAGTTTGAAAAACTGCAACTTAGTATAATATCTTAATTGGCAAAACATAATGATGGTGACTACTCTGTATTCCAAAGACGCTGCATTGTGGAGAAAGGAGCGAAATTATGAAGCCAAAGACTGAGAGGATGGGAAACTGAAAAATGTAAACATCTCACAGACATGGTTTGCTTACTTTCCATTTGGAAACTCAGAAGATGGCTTGGTGTGCTGCCTGCCAGGGAAAACGAACAGCCAAGACAGTTCCACAGAGGCAGTCGCTACGGGGCGATGTGGCAGAAAAGGTAGCAGACTGCGATTGTTTAAAGGTCTGCCAGAACTCTTGGCATTGGCATCAGTGCAGGGCAAAGTAGCAGTGCCAATGCTAGGCACACTGGCAGACCTTTAAACAACTACTTCTGGAACAGCCTTCTACCTTTTCTGCCAAAGACCAAGTACAGGGTGGAGGCAGTGTGCCTAAATATAGTTGCAGGTACCAGATAAATACTCCAAGGCCACTTTCGTTTATACAATGTGCAGCCAGCAGTTCTCCTGACTTCATCATCGCATTTGCCAATCCATTTTCCAAATGACATTTCCCACCCCTGCAATATTTTATTTACACTTGCCAGCTGAAAACCTGTGGGCACTCAGAAGCGGCTGCTGATAGATCACCAGTGTAACTGCCAAATCAAATAATCTATCAAGAACAGAAAAGTGACAGCAAGTTCTGAAAGATGTAATCATAGCCATGACTACGGTATGTAGCCACTGAATATATATTACGGGGCATACATTTACCATACTACTAGACAACAATGGTACACAGCTATTTTATAAATACATACTTATGAGCAATATGTATTGTTGTTGCCCATTAAATAAGTCGTAATTCAAAGTATTTCTTTTACAGAAATGCTTTCAATGGGCCCACTACTATTAAAACAGATGGCCCAGGATCCTATCAGCCACGCCAATCAGCATAACATAATTTGTGTAAATCTCAGTAGTAAATGAATGCAAGTTAAAAAGTCAATCAGCTATTGTTTGCTGAGTTGAGCAAATTGTGACAGCAAATACCAACTTGCAACAGTTCACTACGAAGATTTGTGCCGATTGGGCTACATCAGTGTAAAAACACTATGGGATTCTAGCTATGACTTTAGAAATAACTTATGCCACATATTCCACATACCTCTGTCCCTAAAATGAAGTGAGCTTCCCACTACCATCTCTCTCTCTCTCTCTCTGAATTATATCTTCCCTCTTCTCCAGTGAACTCAAGGGAGCACACATGGCTCTCCTCTCCTCATGATATCCTTCCAACAACCCTATGAGGTCATTCAGGCTGAGAGAGAACAACTGGCCACTGTACTATACATACCTACCCACATACCTATTGACCCACTCATGGCAGACATATATTGGGCTGCACTGTTACTCACCAAGATACTTCTAGCAGTTTAAAACAATTGCTTCCTCACTCTATAGCCCACAGAAAGCCAAGCAATCTTTTTAATGCAGCTCTCCTGGGCCTTTATCCAAAGAGTTCCCTCTGATTAGAACTTTATCTGCTGCAAAGAGAAGATACCTACTAAACTCTTAATAGAATTAAATAACGTACCCAATGAACCATTCCTGCTTTTGGGAACATCAGCACTCTGGGATGATGGATTGCTGTCCTCTGGGTTAGCTGACCTTCTCCATTTTCTGATAAGATAAAGAAGAGTAAGAGGAGTCCTGCATCATCACTTATAATTCTCCTCCCATTGAAGTTCCTTATATCAAACCACATTCAGGCTCCATATCAGAAAGCAGTTTTCTTTACAGAGCAGTTCTTTTCAATTCAGTACAGAGGCCTACTCCTAAACCTATTTTTACATTACTTCCACTAAACAAGGACTGCTTTTACCAGATTTCCTGTGTGGGGCAGATAAGAGGAAAAGGGCAATTCTTTCTTATAGCAACACAAGGATGAAAGGGATTAAAGGCACACCACAATGATATTAAAATAGTTGGTCCAATACATTCCACACATATTTCTCAGTATTAAAGGAAAGAAAAGTGCAATAAAAAGATATTCTGAAGGTGTTTGAATTAGAGATTAAAATCTGTTAAAGAGCAGATTAACAAACTGTTCATTCTTTAAGTTTAGATAACAGTTCTTATTTTCATCACCCCCCAATGCAAAGCAGATTGCCCAGGTACACGAGCGAGTGATCTAGTGTGATGCTATGCAACGCCACTGTAAGAATACCAGCACAGCAAACACATTCAAGATGTTACAGTGATACTCAAAATCAAGCTAATGCGTGTATGCTAGTGCTTACCTGAGTCAGATATGAATCATTATGTCGGCAGAAGTGGACATAATGAAAGTAGACAAGGGTGGTGAGTGTTAATCTTGTACCAGAACTTGGGAAATCTGCTTCGTTGGACTACAGTTCTCAGACTCCCTCAGACAGCATGGTCACTGGCTATAATTTACACACAGTAGGTCTACATTGACAAGATCTGGCTCCCCTTGAAAAAACTAAAGCTAAAGAATGTGGAAGCTGAGGGCCCCAGAGACATGCACACACATTCCAAGTACAGACTGCTAGACTAGGTGTGCCTTGGCAGACAGCCATTCGATAGTTCAGTGGTTTCAGGATTTGGCTGTGGGGCCAGAGGTTGGGAGTTTGATTCTCCACTGTGCATTCTTGACAGGGGCTGGTCTCAATGATCTGTAGGGTGCCCTTCCAGGTCTGTAGATGATGATGATTATAGCCACCACATTAGTGGTATAGATGGCAAAAATGAAAACTGAATTTTAGAGAATGTAAATTTCAGAAGGGGTAGCCATGATACTTTGTCATTTGAAAGGAAAGGAGAAAAGCAAGACAAGGGCCAGAATTCTGTTGGTGCAGCTCTGCACACGTAAGGCTTAGATAACATTAATTTTATCACTAATTACCAGTGGTGGCAATTTTCAGATGTTAAAGACTGCCCTCTCTGTCCCAAGACCCTCCCTCAAGGCTTCCCCTGGTTGAAAGGGATTCATAGAGAGCTGCATAGAGACTCTTTAACTGGGTGGCGGAGGAACCATATTAATTAATAAAAAAATAAAAGGTCATTGCTGCTGACGTCACCAGCCTTATGTATTGCTGACGTCACCTGTGCCAACAGGATTCTAGTTTAAGAGTCTTAGGACACCTTAAATTTGTCATCTTCAATGTGTACACAATTGTTTGCTGCAAAACTGGCAATAAGTTTAAATTTTATATCTGCATTTTTGCAATGAAATAAATGCTTTTGTCATGTTTTAAGCATGAGTAAAAATCCTCATGAGTTTCATGAATTTATTCATAAGAGTCAGGGAGGTTTATCCATTCTTGTTTTGTTGTTCTGACTCACAACTATTCCCCCATTGCTCCCACAATTCCTTTGTTTTTCTTTTTCAAGACATCTTAGGCATTTCTTAAGATTCTCAGTCACTCTCAATGATGCCATGCTTGAACAAGACCACTTGAGGTAATCTTGTGTAGGGAATATGTTCAGCAAACTTCAACATGAAGCATCAACATTATCTTTACCCTGTTCTTTTCTGTGATCCCAAAAGTAGGTCCAGATATGAGAGTCTTATTCAGAAGATTCTAAATGGCCCACATTTCAAATCTCAACAAACATCTCAGAGAGAAATTGTTCAAGCAATTTTGACCCAGCGTATGGACAACTGTTTAATTGTCTCAGCTGTCACTAGCAGTCCCAAGTGATACATCTGGATGTAACTCCTCAGATTTACAATAAAGGATCTACCACTGAGATTTGCCACATCAGTAACTCTAGGCCAATGTCACCTCCATATTTCATTATTTTAATTATCAGTTACCCTAAACTCTACTCTGCTTTGGACACTTTCCTACAAAAACAAAACAAAAAATTATTTCTTACTTGCTTATGGGTGAGATACCATTCAGTTTGGGTAGCAGGTCTTCAGGTGTATAAGGTGTGCTTTTGCAGGTGGCATCTGAACCACACAGTGCAGTTTGGAGAAATGGGAAGAAACCTGTGCTAGGGAGATTCCGGGGGGCAAGGTAACCTGGACAGGACAAAAGAGAAAAACATGTGTTGGGATGGCACAGTGCATGAGAAATCAGTGAATACTATCTACCTTTATATTCTCATTAAAACTTTCTGGCAACAAGAAAGAAATAAAGTGATACGCAGATGAAAAATGGAAATCTCTACTTCAAACTTTAAGACAAAAGCAATTTGAAAAAGAAACACTAGGCAAAAAAGAGAAGCTTGCAGAAACAGAAACAAGTCAAAAGACAAAATCAGCAGAAATACACATGTCAAGGAGGAGGAAGGGGATTGCACACACCCACCTTTGACTCCCATGCATTTGATGTAGCATTTGAAAAAGTCCCAAGTCGTCCATCTTAGGACTCCTACACATGACCCACCACATGCATAAAGGAAATGCACTGATGGTGCATCAGGAGCATTCCTGAATTTAGGACTTCTTGCCCGTTTCCTTGCCTTTTTGTTTTTTAGGGTAAGTCCTACAACATAGAAGTGGCTTATTCCACTTCTAAGGAGACTATAAGGAGTATGGAGCAGGCATGAAGCCAAAGGTGTCATAATTTCTAGGTAGAACCTTGACATGGCCATACCATGATTTAGACCAATGGTTCTCAGCCTTTGGGCCTTCAGCTGCTTGGGACTTTGGTTCTCAGAATCCACAGCCCATGACCATGGCGGCAGGCGCTCCTGGAAAACCGAGGCAGAAAACATTCGGAGGGCCAACATTGGAGAGGTACTTGATTAGACCTTCTGTTTATCTAAGTCTTGCTCCAACTTATTGGCTTTAAATCAGTACCTTTAAATATGAGTCTGCCTGAATTATACCTAGGTGTGGTGGTACAATTAATAATGCACAAAGTGTGTGGAAACAGATGCTGATCCTACCTCCTGCAGGTCCAGGCACCAGCTGAATTCACTTTGATAATGTGGAACAATGGCAAAGAGAACATGCATTCAGCCCATTACCAGTTTAAATGCAGAAGGCTATGTCTGATTGCTAGTTCCAGCTGGAGCAGCCCCAGTGAATCAGTGGGACTTATTTTTGTGCTGACTTAACAAATTCCTTTACTGGGCCTACTCTGGCCAGAACCAGCAATTCGATTTACCCCAATCATTTCATTTGATCCTGAGATTACAGCCGGAATGGATAGATCACATCTCTCCATGATACTAGTGATATAAAGTGGGCGGCTTCTATAGGGCGTTAACTCTGTTTTAGCCAGTCGTGCTGAAAACTGCAGAAGGAGTCACCCTAGGAATGACTGGTCCTGCATAGCAAAGTGGCAATTATTACACAATGACCTTCCTGTTTTAGCGGAGGCTTAAAGTGACACTTTAAAAGTTTCAATGGCAAATTTTCAAAGGGAAACCCCATTTTATTATTGTGGCCTTAGGACAGGGCAGGAAATACGTCAACAGGAATTAAGGGACAAACGGTATTAAAAAAGTGTTACTAAAAATTACAAGAACATGAAACTATGGCATAGAGGAGGGCAGTGTATCTTGTTAAGACACAAACTTTTACTCCCCCAGAGTAACATCTATCTAAATCACACATGCAATGAAAGATATACACATATATAATTATTGTACCCAACAAATTAAAACAAAAATAGTGACCATTTGAATAGCAACAAATGACTCAGTACCAAAATGGGTCAATTAAAATAGCCTACAGAAAAGGGATAGATTTTTTCAGGACAAAATTTTAAAAAAAAACCCTTGGAAAATAGTGATGGCTTTGTCACCCTCCAAAAATTCAACAGAAAATGAGCCAACCAAACCTCACTGAAAAAGAAGCTCCAGAATTAGGCTGCTACAACTGAAAAAGCATGCCTCACATTTTGCCAAGCTACATCTTGGAAGGCAGCCAGATGGGAAGCAAGAAAACTAATTAAAGGGAGAGCAGTTTCAGGGTAATACCATGCATGATTATTCGGAAGTAAATGCTACCAAGTTCAATTGGGCTTGCCCTCCAATGGGAATATCGGGGTTGTGGCTTAATGGTAAGAATATTAAACAAAAAGGACTTATATCCAGGAAAGCCTTCATGGTGCTTGACTACCTAAACCAGTCACTGCTTCCCCACCCCACTTGGCAAGGTAAAGAACTGTATCATAATTATGTGCTGTCAAGTCAAAACTGACTTACAGCATCCCCAATAAGGTTTTCAAGGTAAGTGAGGTATTAAAGGAGTGGTTTTCTCAATTCTGCCCCCAGGAAGTTTCCATGGCAGAGTTGGCGAATCAAAGCCAGGTCTCCTGAGTCATAATCCATTACTCTATCCACCACATCACACTGGGTACAGAATAACTGTGCAGAGCCTGTTTAAACAAACAGTCCTCAATTCCACTCTACTTTGTCTCCTTGTTTCTATCTTTCCCCTTTACCCAGTGATCCAGGAACATTTCTCCTGGGCTGGATTAATTTCACATAGCCCACAACAGCAGAAATAGGAGGGAGACTTTAACAGGAAGAGAACATTTTACTTGTCATCAATAGTGAATTTTAATTGTTTGAGTACTTAGGGGCTATACTTGTTTTTTTGGCAGAGATGTTTAGAAACAGTTAGTTCAGCCTTAACTGAAAAGTTGCAAGACTCGAATGGAAGAAGGAAAACGAGATACGATAAGATGGGCACAGGATGGAGGAGACATTTAGTGTCCTGTGAAGCTGAGTCACTTCCAATTGATAGCAATCCTGTGAGGGTTTTCAAGGTGTGTGAAATGTTCAAAGAGTGGTTTGCCTTTGCCACCACCCAGGTGAGCTTCCATAGTTGAATGAGGATTAGAACTTGGTCCTCTAAGTTATTTAAAACTTGACCTTGGGCCTCCAGAAGTCCTTGGACTTCAACTCCCAGAAATCCTGGCAAGCAGAGGTGGTGGTGAAAACTTTTGGGAGTTGTAGTCCAAGAACGTTTGGAGGCCCAAGGTTGGGGACCACAGCTCTAAGTTATTTAAAACTTAGTCAGTTAAAACCATTCTTCTGATTTACAGTAGGACATGGAACCTTCATCTTCTAAATTATGTTTTATTTTGCATATCCATTTATATTCATCAGTTGCCTCACCTACAGCTAACCTGTTTTTCTACCCCTACTTTGCAAATTTAGAATCATGATATCCTACATTCATCCTGTGAAGAGATGAATATCAGACAATTGTTTCTGGGTTGGGCACCGTACTCAAGCAGCAGCGATTTTTCTTCCTGAATAACTTTGGTACTAAAGGCACATAGCAGCAATGGTGTTTTTGTTTGTTTGTTTTTGCTGTCTTTGATAACCAACACTCATTGTAAAAGCACATTTTCACCATTTTCACAATATCCAAAAATGCCACAGCATCGTAGAATCATGACGTTGGAAGGAGCCTCTAAGGACATCAAGTCGAACCCTCTGCTCAATGCAGGAATACAAATCAAAGCAGATCTGCCAGGTGGTTGTCTGCATTTCTCTTGAATGCCTCCAGTGTTGGAGCACTCACATCTCCAGATAATTGGTTCCATTGCTGTACTGCTCTAACAGTTATATCATAAATGGACTTTAAAAAAAAAACTGAATGCCTCCAGTGTTGGAGCACTCACGTCTCCAGATAATCGCTTCCATTGCCGTGCTGCTCTAACAGTTATGTCATAAACGGACTTTAAAAAAAACCAAAAACCCACCCCCTCCAATAGACAAGAACATCTTCATCTCCCTAGCCTCAAGCAAACAAGAAGTCAACATGTTAACTTATTGTGTAGCCCTTTGAGAGCTAACTTATTCATTATGGCACTGGTCCCCAACCTGGGCCTCCAGATGTTCTTGGGCTACAACTCCCAGAAACCTTCACCACCACCTCTGCTGGCAAGGATTTCTGGGAATTGAAGTCCAAGAACATCTGGAGGCCCAAGGTTGGGGACCACTGCATTATGGCATATGCTTAAGAGGACAGTGACTGTTACAACAGATGCTACGGAGCAGTCCACTGATTATTTATTTTGTTCAGATCCTACATTACCCCCCTTCTCTCCCACTACCCTCCTCTTGCCACTCTCTCTGCAAACTTAATTTATTTTTATCCATAGAGCTATGGAAAGCACAGAGACTAGCAATTTCCTCCCACTCTACCTCACACCCTATTCTTCTCCTTCCTCCCGCACACCGTTTCTCATGCATCCCAGGGCAGGTGCTGCTTCTTGGAAGGTGATAGGACAGTCCTGCAAAATCGTGCATATGCCCGGCCCCCCACTCTCCTGTACAGAAGGACTTTGGAAGCAAGTGAAGCCAAATTTCAAAAGTCAACTTGGCTATTAGTAAAAACTGGAAAAAAAATCAGACTCTACTATGCACAACCTTTTAACCCATTTACAAACCTCATTTTCCCAAGGAGGGCCAAAGCAGAAGTTATGCAAATTATCAGAAAAGTAGGATGCGTGCTGGTTTCGGAGCAGTGTGACTCCTGCTTTGCTACTGCTCTGCCACTCACACATGGCTATCCCTTAAGGATTTTCCTCTTCTGATGATGGGTTATCTATGGTGTACATTTTGGCCTTGAAAGTAAGGCCTAGTTCTCACTGAGACAGTAAATATTTTTCTAGACAGGTGGGAAATTATTGAAAATTATGCCATTAAAAGAAATCCTGATGCGGAAAACTAATATGTGGGGTGGAGATGTTCTAGCTTAGCCTTCTACATATTGTTAGAAGACTAGGCTAGAACTGCATGGTAGTTCTATGTGAGGATTTGTTTTATTTTGTTTTAAGAAGGAGATTTCTGTCAGTGACCTGAACTGAAATGGTACAATGCAAGAACAAATTTCATGTGTCAGTTGGAGCAAGACTCCGGCATTGCACTGCACAGCACTGGACTGTGAAGCATTAATTAAGTGCCACTGTACATGATAATCAAATTGCTTTTGCTTCGTGCTTCTTCTAGAATTTCTTGTTTGGGTACTACTTCTTTGAGTACAGCTCATGCTTAGTACAATGAGAATTATAAATACAAATCAATTTGTCTCCATGCATAATTTGGCTTGGAGTCTGGCTTCTGAGGCAGAATTAGAATTCCTGATGAGCTTGTTCTTTCAGGGCTTTGGAAACAGGTTTCTAAAGATTCTGGCAATTTCCAAGGGCTGTATCTGATGCTCTGGCTGTGCTCACAAAAGCAGCTTCTGTGAGCACAAGTGGGAGAAAGCCAAACGCCCTCCCATGTGCTCTAAAAACCTGCCTCTGTTGCAGGAAACCTCTGCATGAGGAGGGGGTCTATAATCTGAACCCATGTCTTCTTTGTATGTGGCTCTCATACTTGGAGGTTTGCAGCTCATACCTATATGTGATACACTGCTCATGCAACACTGCTAGATCTCACTATAGCACTCTTGTTACCTAAAAATTCTGCAACACAAAGCACATAAACTGCAACAATTAATGTTGATTATTTTCCTCCTTGATATAAGTCTTGGGAGGGGCAAGAACTGGTTATTCCAATAGCTAGCGATACAGAATGGGGGGATCCAGATACAGTGGTGCCTCGCTTAGCGATGTTAATTGGTTAAAAAAAATCGCTATGGGAAAACATCTCTAAGTGAAACACCATTTCCCATAGGAATGCATTAAAAACCGGATAATCCATTCCAATGAGAACGGATTACCATCCTTAAGCAAAAATCGCCATAGGAAACACTAAGTGAAACGCGGTTCCCCCGTTGGAATGCATTGAATAGGTTTCAATGGTTTTGACAGGTCCGT